CCCCGGTCCCTGCCTCCCAGACGTCGTTGCTCCGCGGGCCTCCCCCCGAGCGCGGGGACAGGTGCCCCGGCCGGGGTCTGTTGGGAAGATGGCGACCCCGGGCATGAGCTGGCAGCAGCACTATTACGGCGGCTCCGCGACCGGGGCGGCCAAATTCGCCCCCTCTCCGGCCGCCGCGCAGCTGGCTGGACACAGCATGGACTACAGCTTGGACATGCACCTGAAAATGAGCAAGAAAATCGCTCAGCTCACCAAGGTAAAGGGCGCGGCGGCGGGGCGGGGACGCCGGCGACCCCGAGCTGGCATCTCCGGGCTCACCTGCCCGCCTGGGAGGCAGCGCGCCCTGCCCGCGGGCCGACGCGAAGGGGGCTCTGCGCTAGGAGCAACAGCCCGAGACTTATCTCCGAAACCGCCCAAACTTTGGTGGAACGCTGGCGACGTGAATTAAACTAGACAGCTGAAGGCACCCCTGGGTTTATGGGATTTGCGTCCCTTTGGCCTTCAGGCGTAAGCCAGTCAAAGAACAATTTAGTATGCACTTACTCTATTCCAAAGCAGTAAACCAATTTAACGTTGCTCTCGTGCATCTGCCAGGCTCCACAAGCTATCACTCTACAGTATAGTACCTTAGGAAGTACAGTAGTACCGTATTTACCTAATGTGACCCGGAATCCTCGGAATTAATCAGTAGCTTTTATTGGTTCCATAGTTAGGGAGAGAATAAACTTTCTGAGGAATGTAGGAGGGTGAAACATACCTTGCGTGCCATTTTGGGATTTAATGAGTCATTCTTTTATCTTGACAAAATGTCAAATAAGGCTTATTAGATGAATCACATTGTTTGCATTTAGTTAAATGTTTTTTTTAGTCTATCAAAAGATAAATTTACAAAGAGCAAATACCTGGCCAATTGTAGAACTGTAGTTGAGGATGGCACTTAAATTAGCCCCCCTCCCCCCACTTGGCAAACGTTGCTAAAGAGTTGGTATCTGTGAAGCAGAAGCAGTTCAGATCAACTAAGTTGTTCTGCTTGAATCTCACCACCAATCTTAGCAATGCCTATTCAGTGAGAAGTGATCCGTGGCTTCCGAAAATTAATAGAGGATATACTGTTTTTTCAAATGCGTTTAAGCTGACCACTGTTAGGCGTGCTGGTATGCTGAAGAGAGGTGGTAGGGCTATCCGCCAGACAACCTTGGGGGTCTGACTCATCTCGAAACTCTCATGATACAATTTGGTTACTAGATTGGCAGTTTGGTAGAGTAGAGCAAGCTTACAGTGGGAAGAGAGGAGAGAAATGAAATGGGAGTGAAAAAGGGATGAAAAGAATCAAAAGATTTTAAGTAAAGAAAGGTGATTGAGGGTAGGAATAAAACTAGCAGGAAAGATGACAAAGCCAAGCTACAGGTGCACGACCCCTCTCCGCAAAGGCAGGCAACATTTCATGAAGTTCCCTTTCTGTTTGTCTTTTGTTAGTATTTTGTTTTATGTCAGCTTTGTCTCAGAGGTCGCTGCTTGTCTGGTTTTCACTGTTTCCTCTTGTGGCAGAGGGTCCCAATTCATGGGAAGGAATGATGGGTGTGTGTCATTGGAGCCATTAGACATCTGGGGGCTCAAAGCCAAGCTTCCTGTAGTCACGCTTGGTCTTCTGAATACTGATGTCCAGAATGAAGCACACAGATATTTATTTATTAGGATTTTTCTCTTGGGATGTGTCTCCAATGTCCATTGCTTACTTTAGATTGTAACAAAACAATTCTGCACCACTGGTAATGGTAGGAGTATTAGGTGGAAGTTGCCATCACTTTCTCCCTTCAGATTACCCTCCTCCAGTCTAAGGAGACAGGAAAGGGTTCCCATGCCAGTGCCCTTATCACCACTGTACCTAATCTTTACCGTTACCTGGCTGCTCTGATGTAGTGTTTGTGGTTGTAGCCTCTCAACACTCTCACCACCCCCTCTGCCAAATGCCTCAGACATTTAATCCTGTGTGTTAGGGTTTCTCAGTGTCACACTGTTGACATTTTGGACTGGATAATTCCCTGTTGGTGGTGGACTGTCCTGTGGGAAGACAGTTTAGCAGCATCCCTGGCACTTCTCAGTGGGACAGTAAACACAGTTGTCTAGAGACATGTTTCCCAGGATGGGGTGGAGTAGGTATGGGGGAGGGCAAAAGCATTCCAAGTTAAGAATTTTTGATGTATGCCAAAATATCTACGGGCTGTCCTAAACCCACTTCTTGCCTTTATTTGTTAAGATGAGGCCCGAGAATGAAATAATTTGAGACTCTTACAGCCTACACTTTTCAGTTTCTGAAAACATAGTTGTTTCCCTTATATACTATTTTGGAAACTGTCAAATTTTACAGTCACATATACTTATTGTAAATGCTGTACCATAAGCATGATATCCTGAATAATTGAGTACTTGTGTGTGTTTATGTTTGTGTGTGTGTATATATACGTATGTATATGTGTATATATACATATATATATAGAGAGAGAGAGAAAGAGAGAGGGAGAACTTGTGTCTGCCATATATAATTTTCACTCAAAGAGTTTACTAATAAATTCATATTGACAGAGGTGTTAATAGAACTATTGTATGATTGGTATTTTTTTTATTTGCACCTAATTCTATCCTTTTTTAAAAAAATATTTTTTATTATTATAATCTTGTTTATATTACATTGAATCACATATAACTTTACAGTGTATTACATTTCTTTTTCCAGAAGTGTGATTGGAATTTGACAATAGTTTGTATTTTACAATTGGATGTTATAAAGGTAACATTAAAAACGGACTTTATTTCTTTTGAAAAGGCATCGATAGAGCTCAGTCAACTCGACATTATAGTAACAGTATAATGAAGAATTTCCCTTAGGAATCTGACACATCGTGTTGTGTTCTAACTCCTACACCACCACGTACTAGTTTTGTGACCTGGAGCAAGTGACTAGCCCTGAGCCTCAGTTTCTGAATCTTTAAAATAGATTTGATAATAACTGTTTTAGAGAGTTAAATTGCTGCATAGGGGGCTCTTAAATCAGGCTGTCATTTAAAATACATACATACAAGGTATGGTAAACTATGGATAATGTCTTTTTAAAATACTCCTCTCCTTTTAAAATAAACCATTCTGCAATAGGATCTTAGGATATTGTATTTATTTTGATGGTTTTCTGCTAAACTTTAAATAAATATATATATTTTTTCCTATTCAAATATCAAAAGTTTAAGGGTTTCAACTTTCATTTGCATTGATGTAGTATAGTGCTAAAAATAAGGTGTGCATGTTTCAGTGGGTTGACTAGCTACAAAAGGATAAACATGGAAGTAATTTGTGTTATAATCTTACACATGGAAAGACTCAGTATATTTTTAACTAAAAAGCTGTATGCACTTTTTGTTCAGATCCTATTTTTTAAGAGTCTAACAGAGCAGCTTTCTCATGGCAAGAACAGCAGTTTTTTAAGCGCCTTTTATGTAAGGGGGACTTTGCTAAATGTTAGAGCCGCCACAGGGAACAAGACACAGTGTCTGCCTTTTAAAGGGAGTCTAGCGTATTTAGGTCACCCATGTCAAGTTTTGAGACTTCATATTCAATTCTTGAGTCATGTGGCAATTTTCTGGAGTTGTTAATGGCTGAACCATGTCAGGACAGGCAGAGAAGCTGGATGAATTCAGTTATGTTTTATAAGACTGCATTGTGTACTTGTGACTCTCCACTGGTCGACTCTTTAGAGCATTACAGGGCATGTGGGGGGAAAATCACAAAACAGCTTTAATTTTGTCCCTTCATTTTTTCTTTTTTGAGATTTTTTTTATTCTGCAAGAGATAGTTCATCCTCTGGTATGGATGAAATGAACTTTTCTGGTTGCTCTTAAATAATACGAATCATACTTCAGCAATTCAATCACAAAAGCCTGTTTGGGTATCATTTTTTATTTGTAAAATCTGTGTGTATGCAGATGAGAGAGAGTGAGAAGTATCTTTGACCGGGTCTTGTCATGTTTTGTGATCCCCTTTCCCCAGATCCCCAGCATCTCAGGATCTTTGGTGCCTATTTTTCAGGCTGGTCCTCTGGTCGGCCGTATGGCTTTCCAGCCTTGCAGGGCACTATAGCACAGCAGCTGGACCTAAAGTGGCCATTAAAACCTCCAGTGCTAATAAATAAAAACTCCTGACCAAGACTGCATTAAAGATGAAGCTTCTCTTCCTCTATGCACACTATTTCTGCCCGTTACAGGCAGCAGCCAGTTGGGGAAGATGGGCATTGTTGCCTTTTTTTCCTTTTGACCCAGATTTTCTATTCTTCCTCCTTTGTCTTACCAGTCCTATTATTTGACCTCTCCAAAGTTGGACAGTCAAGAAAGGAAGGAAGGAGCAGCAAAGTTTTACTTGGTCAGGCAAGAAGCTAGATAGTGCTCTTGTAGCCTTGGCTCATTCTTTCACCTATGCATCCTCTACCTCCCATCTCAGTTCAAGAGTTTTCACCTCACATTCCATGACAACATGACTGGTTGCCTTCTCGTTTCTCAGCTTCTCAGAGCTGTCAGTACTTTCATCTTTATTTTGCTAAGGTCTGTGCAAACTTCAGGCGATTCTGTTGGATACACCCGTGTGACCCCCTAGCTTCTCTGTCTCTCGTGTAAACCCATAGCTGGTCCATAAGGAGCACTCATTCTTTGCACAGATTCTGGTAGTGGTCTTACCTTGGCAATCTTTCTCCTACCCACATTTCTTTTCATCCAGTTCTGACCCTTTAGGCTTTCCAGAAATTAATTAGGCACCAGGACAGTCTGTTCTTCCAAGTACATGAAACTCTAGGAAGCTCTTCAAGTGGTCCCATCAGTCTTTTTCTCTAGGCGTCAGGTGTAAGACAAGCATTCTCTCCCGTTCCCCCTTGCTGGACCCTCAGTCTGTGACACACTGGGAGGAAATCTCCCAGACCCCTTCTGTAATCTTCTTGAAGTCACCTCTTGCTAGTGTTGGGGGTTGGAGGCAATATACCTTAACACTCCTTTCCTTACTCTGCCTCTTATGAATAATTTGAGAATATCTAGCATCTGCTTTAGTGTCATTGTCTTTGAGTCTCAGTAGAAAGTTCCCATGGAATGCTTTGTTATGCTAGTTATTAACAAATGGCTCTTTGTTGATTGAATTTTGATACAGTTGTCCTCTTACCTCTTTGACATAACTATGTAGTATAAAGTAGGGTTTCTGAAGAACAGAAGTGATTTCTTTGTGTTC